ATAGTACTTCTACCCATCTATGCCTAGGAATAAGAACTATGGTACATTAATGCTGGCAAAGAATGTCAAAAATCAAAAAGGGAATCAAAGCAAAACATAAAGATTAGACTCCCTATGAATTTTAAGATGATGGTTCACATGTACTCAGCTATTAGAAGGGCTGTATTCAACTATTCTGTCTTGAGGACTCATTCATATTATGTCCTCTGTTTGCCAAGGTTCTTATAAACTCAGTGGTGCCCTTGGTTCTGCCCCAGAGCCATACATTGAAATCTGACTATCACATATCCTATTTGGCTGGCACATTCCACAATGGCTCACTCATTATCCAATAATCATTCATGAGTACCTCCCACTGGTGAGAGCTTGGCACATAAGAACCAAGAGTATATGGTCCAGCCTCAAGGGCTGATCAGGACCCCAGCACAAGGATTCTGAGCAGACTGCAGAAGGTCATCTCTGGACTTGGGAAGTGTTCCTTCAGAAGTTGTGAATAAGGTGAATGAGCCACTAGCCAGAGCAAAAGCATGAAGCAGGGCTCCAGTCAGAGGGCACAGCATATGCCTACAACACAGCTCACCTATCTCTCGGAGGTTTCTACTGAAGATGTTGCATTACATGTACATGAACAGATCTGCACATATTTTAGCCATCATTTCCCTTTCAAACAGTTCACATAATTTTCCTAGACCTTTATTTTAAACTAAACCTACCCAGGAAAAAGAGAATATCAGATGTCCATGTTCCAAATAAATTGTGGAAAATGTGGGAAAGTCCTTCCATCAGCATCACAGTCAATTTGAAAAATGAGACCTCTCTAGCTTTTACTAGAATATAAGCTGAAAGAACCCCTCAGTAAATCAAACTTCTAAAAATGGTAGGTGATAGCTCTAAGAAGCAGAACTAGATTAGAAACAGGAGACCTCATAGCCCAGACCTGCTCTGCACCAATTCTCATTATGTCTCACCCTCTGCCTCTAGCTGGGCCTGTCAATGGGTTAGTCCAGAAAACTGTTCCTAGTGCTGGCTGGCCTCAGCCTATTTGCCTCCCAATGCATCAATGCAAGAATACATGGGGAGTACAACAAAAGGAATCCCTAGAACCTCTCCTCAGACTACCTCCTCTTCAAGGAGTTTGACCCCCTCCTCCTCATGAGACTCCTCAGGCTGCCAGCCCCTCCTTATCTCCCACTCCTCCAGCATTCACCTGGCCCTTACTAACCAGAGAGTGGGAGAGATGGGATCTCTGTAGGAATTTTCCCAACCTCTCCAAGCCAGCCCACAAGCTCCTAAAGCAGTGGCTGCCTCCCACACCAACATGCCCTGCATATTTCCAATAAGTCATCCTAGAGCCAGTTGTTTCTTCTGTCAGGTGACTGACTAAAGTAAAGACAAGTTGCTCCAAAGACTGATTTCTATCTTCCCAACACCCCAAACTATGGTTTAAGAAACTCACTACTTCATAAGATCCAGAAGCATATCTACCAGGCCTAAATCATTGCTTAAGGTTTCATTTTGTCAAAAGCAAAAAATAAATAAATAAGGTGAGGAGGGGGACGGCTTTTCAGACAAGAGAGGGAGTTACTAGTCCTAGAGTAAAGAAGGCTAATACATTCCATATTACTGAAGATACAATTAGAAAAGGGATAGCCGAGAAGACAAATACAAAATATGTTAGTGCCATCTATTGGCAAGAGAAAATAACAAACCCATCTTTGTACAATAATTCAAATCACACTTAAGCATTCACAAAAGAGCACGTTAGGGTTTGCAAAAGACCTCTACATCCAACTAGCTGATTCTTGGAATATAGAATGCCCACACTGCGGGCCCTTCTTGTGAAAAGCAGAGGACAACCCAGAACTGGTGGCTGCATTCATATTAGCTTAGGGATTCATGATTCAGACTCCAAACCTAGAGGTGGCTGGGTCCCAAAGGACAGAGTCCAACACTGAAGAGACTGGGCTGTCCAAGATGCCCACCGTACCTCACTGTGACATCCAGTCCATTATGCAGAAGTGGGCAGGAGAGTCTTCTGGTTAGACAAGTTCATTTCTTCAGCCTCAGGGGAAGCTGACATAGCAATGCCCCATGCCCAGAGCCTGTTCATAGATGCCTAGTGGTGTGTAATCATTGTTTCTCTAGGGAAACCTGTATCTTTAAAGGAAACCCACTTGTGCTGACTTGGTGGAAGTGAGGAAACCTCCAGCTCCCATCTCACAAACTTCTTTTACGTAGGGAACAGCAACACAGCCAGCAATATTAAGTAGACACAAACTCCGGGTAACAGAAAGTAGAAGTCACAACCCAACTCCATCCTGAGGGGCAAGGATGGCCTCTGCCATGAACTGGCAAGATGAATCCAGGTATCCATGTCAGGCATCTATTCTATTCACAAATTTCAGTTAGTTAATCTTAGGGACCTGCACCACACAAACCAGGAGCCATGAACCTGACTGGAGCCTTGGAAGACAGGGTGTATAGGAGTCAAGAGAGCTAGATGAAAGGCAACAGAGAAGAGTGGGGACTGAAACTAATGAAGTAAGAGTACTGGCCCCATTTGGGGGGGCAGTTAGGAGCTGGAATCTAACTCAGCAGTAGGATACTTAAAACTGTGAAACTAATTCATGCTCCAAGATGTCAGGATAAACAGCCTAGATTCATAGTGCAATGTTTACCACTCTGGCCTCACACACAAGATATCAGGATAATAGTCGTCCTTAAAAGACAGGGAGCTGGTGCTATTGTTTCTCGCCCTGGGTGCTGAGAGCATGGCTACATTTAAAACTTCATCAAGTGAACTTTTCTGTATAGAAATGCTGCAATAAAAACTTGGCAGTAAAGGTTGGGGGTGTGGCCCAGTGGTACAGTGCTTGCCTATCATGCACAAGGCCCTGGGTTCAATCCCCAGCATGGAAGGAATGAAGGAAGGAAGGAAGGAATGAAGGAAGGAAGGAAGGAAGGAAGGAAGGAAGGAAGAAAACACTTTAAAATAATTTCATGAATGATGGAAATCCTACTGTGAATGATAGTTATTTGTATATATACATATGTTAAAAGTTAATGAATTGGCTGGGATTGTAGATCAGTAGTAGAGCACTTGCCTGATATGCTCAAAGTCCTGAGTTGAGGGCTGGGGATATAACTCAGTTAATAGAGTGCTTATCTCACATTCATAAGACCCTGGGTTCAATCCCCAGCACCACAAGGCAAAAACAAAAACAAAAACAAAAGCCCTGGGTTGAATCCCCAGAACTTAAAAAAAAAAAAATGTCCCTGAGCTGTACAGTCATTTTAGTTTCAGGATCCCCCAAATCCATGGGTATTCAAGTCCCTTGTATAAAATGGTGTAGTATTTGCATATAATCTACATACATCCTCCCATATACTTTAGATTGTCTTGAGATTATTTGTAATACCTAATACAGTGTAGATGCTATGTAAATAGTTGTTAACTTATATTGTTTAGGAAATAACAGGCTAAAAAAAGTATGTGCATGTTCAATCCAGTTCAGTTCTTTTTTCTAATATTTTTGTTCTGCTGTTGGTTGAATCTGCATGGATACAAAAAGTCCTTAGGTTATGAATATTTCACTGTTTATAAATAAAATGTGGGGACTTTACCTTTAAACAAGAATCTCAGGAATAAGTTATATAGTGTTTTCCTTCTATATTTAAACTCTAACTTTACTAGCTTAACCTAAATGTCTTACAAAAAGTTTAGTTTATACATCTTAAATTCCCTTATGACCCTGAAGAATTTGTTATGAAATTCATAGCATGAATGACATGATACTCTAATTTGTCCAGGAGCCATGAATAGGATCTGAGCATGTAGGAGGTGAGCATATACCCTTAGCCTTGAGCAATGGAGGTGTGGAACTGGCTTCTGCTTGCAGTGCCAAAGCAGGTGGACCTCAACTTACTTTGGCAAAGAATTTCAGCAATGGGATTGAGCTATACCCCCTGAAACCCAATCCTTTGTCTCATTTGGGTTGAACTTTCACAAATGTCTTCCCCTCAATAAATAGAATGGTCCCAGGCGTGCTCTCTCTTTTTTCCCTGCCTCTCTTGCCTCCCTTGTGGGAGCTGGGGCAGAGAAGCCATCACTGAACCTCAAGAAAAAGATACTTTCTGTGTCTGTGCGATTATTTAGTGCCAGCCCAGTTCACCTGGAGCAACCCTGACTGATTTAGTCGCATGTCCTTACATCCTTTAAATAACAATCCTAGTTCAGCATTTCAAGGTTTGCTAAAGCAAATATTTGGGTTAATGGCCATTCCAAATCCTGAGGACCAACATCTCAAGGCCACTCACTGAGAATATTCACAAAACAAGATGTATTTCATAATGCAACATCCCACCAGCTCCCAGAAGCACCTAATGCCTTTTTTTTTTTTAATGCAGTGCTGGGGATGAAACTCATCTAATTCACTTTAAGGCAATTTTCACCAAATTAAATAAGTTCTTTAATCAAGTATTGCTTGTTTTATAAGAAGTGAAGAACTTCCTACCATCAATCAACCTAAATTCCAGTGCTCTGAGGTATAAACCATGAGTAAGTGGAACATAACTGTACCTAGAAAAGGCACTGTCCAGGGGCAGTGTCCTGAAAAGGCACAACAATGATCTCCAAGGGACTGCTGTTACCCAAAACAGCCACAGCCAGCATCATCTCCAAACTAGGCCATACCCTGTGACAACCAGTGTGGCATTCATCTGTCCACAGTCTCTCAAAGCAGCTTCTTAATGAATTATCTGAATTAAAAATGCATAACATTAGCACACAATATTTGTTGACATGACAAGAAAAAATGTTTTCTTTTTTGGCAATACTCAAATAAGTGATAACAAATAGGCTTATTTTTTAATCCTCAGAATAGCATTCTTGAGCAAAGATAACTTTTAAACAAGCAATACCTCTGGTCCATCTCCTATACTGAAACTCAGTAAATCCACCCACACAACTAAATACCACTAAGTCCTTCATGTAGTCTTACCTGGGAAAGGTTCAGCTCATACAATGGATGGCACTGCTCTTCCACCTCTTCCACTGCCCCAGTCTGTTTCCTCAGCCACTCTGCCTCCTTGGCAAGGTACAGGTCTAGGACAAGTAACCTCCAGGACTTAATGTCCATTTCAGATCATGAGCCTCTTGCGTTCCTAGTTCCCCACAATGGCAGTGAAGAGGTACTCTACATACAGCCCCTTGCCTCATTGGTCTGATCATCCACAAGGGCATCCTGAGCTTGACATACTCCAAGTGGCACTTGAGGCAGTAGTAGATGTCCTTGGTGAGCACATCTTAGAGGTTCTTGCTTTTGGCATCATCTGACAGCTGCTGAGGGCAGAGATTATGTAGGAGTCCATGAGGTCCAACTCAAAGTACATAATGTTGCTCTGCTGGAAAGCCTTCTTGGAATCATTAGTAATGAAGTCCCAGACTAGGGTTTATGGGACATGGATAATGCCAAAGGAGTAAGATGTGGGTCTCACTTTATGGATCCACAAGAAGTAATTCAACTGAATTTGATAAAAAGAAGAGAGACAACATCAAATTATGATACATGAGGGAAGAATGAGTCAGGAATCTAAGAGGAGAAAAGGAATTAGAGAGATAAATTGCACTTCAGGATAAAAATGATCAAAGTAAGATTTAGACTTTTGAGTCTAGGTAGATTAATCTGCCAGGAGCAAGAGTCCGCATTTGCCAACAATATTTCAACATCCTTTCTCATTTTTCCATCAAAATGTTGATTCAGGAAAGAAAAGCAGCAGAAATAACCAGTTCAGAGGTTTACCCTTATCTGCCCTACAATGAACTGCACAGGATTGGAGAGGAATCTAAAGATACACCTGATACTACGTAAGAGACATTTGAGAAGGTAACTCACAAAGGTACAGGGTAGACCTGATGACCCTGTTTATTTTTTTAATTTGTTCTTTTTAGATATATATGACAGTAGAGTGTATTTTGACAAATCATACATACACAGGGTATAACTTATTCTAATTAGGCTCCCATTCTTGTGCTTGTACATAATTTGGAGTTTCACTGGTCGTGTGAACACAGGAAAGTTATGTCTGATTTGTTCTACTGTCTTTCCTATTCCTATTTGTCCTCCCTTCCCTTTATTTCTCTTTGTCTAATTCTGTGAACTTTATTCTTCTCTCTCCTACCCTTATTGTGTGTTCTCGCATATCAAAGAGAAAGAAGATTTGGCCTTTGGTTTGGGGTGATTGGCTTATTTTACTTAGCATGATAGTCTCCAGTTTGTTGACCTTGTTTCTTCAGATCTCAAAATTCAACATTCCCAAGGGCAGAGGCTCTCAAGTCTAGCTGTACATTAGAATCACTTGTAAAAAGCTTTTGAAGTCCAATGGCTGGGTCCTGCCCCAAACCAATCACATCAGAATCTCTGGATGTTGGGTCTCAGATTTAGGATTTTTTGTTTGGCAGTGCTAGGGATTAAACCCAAACTTTTGCTAGGCTTATTATCACTAGACTTTGCTATCACTGAGCTACATCCCTAGCCCCAAAGGTGGTAGTTTTAAAGCTTCCCTGGTCATTCCAAACTACAGCTAAGGTTGAAAATGTGGTCTTAATGAGCCTTGGCTTCCTAATTTGCTCTTGTCCCTGTACTGTTATATTGCATTTCTTTGTCCTGGTTCAACAGAAGAAAACTGGACAGAGTTCTATGTATCCTTTCCAGCATTCTCAAAGACTTAATGTTGGTGAGTGTCCATCTAAGGCCAGGTCATTATGCTCCTGAGTGTCTCTTAGTAATTTATGAAGTATCTGTTTATCAAGAAGTATTATTCAAAGTACACAGGACAGCCCTCAAGGAGTTCAACAGTAACTTGAAGGCCAGACATACATGTGGGGTGAACCATACGTCACACAATCCAGAATGTGAAAATTTTGGATTTATATGAAAGAAGATTTGGAACACATCCAAAAGGCTTAACTTCCTTTTAGGTAACATACTTCCTTGGATTGTGGAGTTTCAGTCTATAACCAGTTCTCATTATTCATGGATTATATAAAGTCCCCATAAACACTAGATTCATGAATACCAAACCATTGCTCCTAGAGGAAATATATGGTTCAATTCCTCAGAGCCTCTGGTCATAACATTTGTGTCAACCGGTCAATACACAACTTTGTTCCATGTGTGCCTCTGTTGAGAGGCACTTTATTTAGTATGTAACACTGAAAAACTTAACACATATTTTCTCCATAAGGCACATTACACCATTCTCACAGTTGGAACACTAGCGAGCACTTCAATACCATACTTGGGGCCATTTAGTAAAATTACCTACAAAAATGCAAAACCATGGCATTAAGTAAGCCACAAAAAGGATACTTGTTAACAGTGTGGGAGCAGAAACAAGAAGGCACAGAACAACCTTGTTCAGTGTCAGTTTGGAATGTGCACATTGGCAACTCAAAATTTTCCATTTTGCATGCAACAGCAGTTGACCACAAAAGTATCAGGAATATTAGCTTGGGGTTACAAATAAATTTTAGCAAACAGGCAAATTCGAAAATATGGAATTGGCAAACAACAGGATCAATTGTGTTTGCATTTGTGTTATTGTTCAGCAGCAACAACCCCTTTCAAAGGAAGTTTGCATCACAAAGAATCTCTAAATATAAGATAAGCAAGAGTGGAGCTGGCTAAAGTTTTCTCCCACCCCATGCTGTTTTTCACAGAACCACCATTTGAACAGGACTGCACTCGTAGGTGAGAGCAGAGGCAGGCAAGTAAACACTGGGCTGGGGGTGAGATGAGGCCAGGGGAGCAGCAGCAAAGAAGCCCACAACTCTCCATAAACTCGACTGGCTAAGCAGCCCTAGGACTAGCCACAGGGAACAGAGCCCTGTGGCTCCAGAATAGACTTTTTGAAACAGAGAGTTTCTGATTTCCTCCTACTGAGAACAAAAACTTCCTTGTGAGGACAGATGCCAAGGAAATTAAAATTGACATGCTCTCTGTCTAGTATAGCCTATCTAAATATATATATCAATCACCTGGCTTTTGTTTGTGCAACTGCTGTGGTACCAGTGAAGAAGCAATCTAGCTATTTCTCCCCAGCTCAATTAAACTGCCTAAAATTCCCTTTTCCCTTTTTCTATCATTTCCCCCTCTCTCTCTCTCTGGACTGGGGACTAAACCCAGGGATGTTCTGCACCTGAACTATATCCCCAGCCCTTTTTATTTTTATTTTGAGACAGGGTCTCACTAAGTTGCTGAGGCTGGCCTTGAATTTGTGATCCTCCTGCTTCAGCCTCCTAAGTAGCTGAGATTATGGGGATATGCAAAGTTGCCCTACCTATTTGCCTGTTTCTTCAGCCCGCAGGCAACTGAATCTGGCCAGCAAGGATCCCAGTAGCCTCCCTGACTTAGCTGCCAGCAATACTTTTATCAAAAATCATGACATTTAAATAAAATTTTCCAATTTATAACTGTTGCCTCAATATCTTAAACCTCATGAATGACAAAGAGAATCTATCTCAGCCCTCAGCCTGCGACTTTGTTATTTAAAGCATTCAAATTGCAGTTCTATCTACTCACCTAACATTTTAAGAAGGCACTAACTGGGTGAGTGGGGGGTGGGGGGTGGGGGTGGGGGGGTGGGGTGGGGGGATGGGGGGGTGGTGACGAACAACTTGTGTAGATTGATACAGCAGGAGTGGAAGCTGTTTATTGTAGGACAACAGAGGTATTTATACATTACACACAGCTTATCTTAATTAGCATAAACTAGATACAGCAGTCAACCAATAAGAAATCTCCACACTTAATGGCTCGCTGGCGTTACTTCACAAACCACTCCCTCTGGCAAAATGCCAGGTGCCATCCTGACTTGTTTACAGACTCTAACAGAATACCTGCACTCCTATTCAGTTTATTCAATATGCATCAATTTTTATTTTATTACGTATTTTATTGTCACTGTTACAACTATTATTAATCTACATATAAGGCCATTGTATGATGTTTTCACTGAAAACTCAGATTTAAAAAAAAAAAATGCTTGTATTCTGGCATCTGCCATGTAATAATAGTAGTGATGATAAAGGCATCCTGTTCACTGTATACCAGGCACTGTCCAAGAAATTTACATGGATTGTCCTACCAACTTCATTCAACACTCATTTGTTCCTCAATTATTTCTGCTGTGCCTACCGTGTGCCAAGTGCTGTTCTAGACGCTAGGAATACAACAGTACATGAAACATAGGGCCTGACTTGGGAAATGTTAGTGATTACTGCTGTGGAGAATATGTGTGTTAGTCAACTTTTCATTGTTGTGACCAAAATACTCAATAAGAACAACTTAGAGGAGGAAAAAGTTCATTATGGGCTCATGGTTTCTGAGGTTAAGTTTGTAGTTGGCCGACTCCATTATGTGAGGCAGAACATTGTTGTGGAAGGGCAGAGTAGAGGAAAGCTGCTTACCTCAAAGCAGCCAGGAAGCAGAGTGAGAGCACTAGGAGCCAGGGACAAGACATAACCCCCAAAGGCATACCTTGTGACCTACTTCCTTCAGCCACATCTCATTTCACCTCTGAACATTCCTACATTGCCTAACATGAGCTTTTCAGGGAACACCTCATCTCCAAATTATAACAACATGTAAGCAGATCTGGTGTGAGGGTGGGGTACAATTTTTCAACAAGAGAATCAAGAAAATCATTGGATGTCTAGAAGAACATCTAAGCCTTACTATGAAAGAGATTGAAGAGCCAACAATGGGGATATCTGAAAAAAGAGCAGTCCCTCCAGAAGGAGAGAGTAGCAGTGCAAAGGCCGGAGGCAGGGGGGTCTTTGATGCATTAGAGAGGCAAGGATGCCACATGATTCCAAAGGAATAACTGATGAAAAAGTGGGATGCAAAACTGGGCCATGCAGGGGCTCTGGGCTCCTGGAAGGGCTCAGGCTTTTAAGTTGAGCAGAATGGGAACCAGCCCAGGTTTTTGAGAGAGTAGTGGCATGAACTGCCTTCATGTGTTAAAAGTACACTCTGGAAGCTGTGATGAATAGACTTCTGAGGGATGATGGCAGACACAAGAAGATCACTTAGGACATTACCAAAATAACCCAAGTGAGAGAACAGTGTGGAAATGATAAGTCTGATGAGGTGATTCAAATACTGGATATTTGAAGTTAAAAAAGAGGATTTGCTGATACAAGAATGAAACTGCCATCCACAGGATGAAATAGAATGAAAGGAGATGGTCCCAAGTTTAGTGTTGGAGCTGATCAGTTGAGATGACGGACAACCTATAGGTGAGGTCAGGTTGGTAGGCGATACATGAGTCTGGAGTTTGGGACAAGCTGAGACCAGAGATAAAAATAAGGGCATCATCTCTATTTAGGTGTTATTTAAAGTCATGAGACTGGATGATATCGCCAAAGGTCCAACTGTCAATAGAAGGAAAAAAAGTCTTGGTTTGGCCCCTGAGGCCCTCTAACCTTGAGAAGTCAGGGGGGAAAAAATGCAGTCAGGCAA